TGTCTACGGTGTGGCACGCGAGCCCTCTGACACATTTTGCATTCGTCAAGTTTGGCGAGGAAGTGCAACCAGGCGCCTACTCTCCAAACTTGGCGTATGACGAGTAGTGCAACTAGGCCCTTGCCGGGGATGCTCTTATCACCTCGGAAAGTTGGTTTTCCCGTATACGAATTTTCAAAAACAAACAAACAAACAAACAAACAAACAAAGTGCTGTTAAAAAGAAAAAAAGAAACAAAAAAACAAAGCGCTGTTGAAAAAAAAAAAAAAAAAAACCCCTTGCCAACATGATACCTCCTATCTGTTTCCCCCCCTTTCCGCTCCCCCCCCCCACCGCCAAAGCGGTGTTCCTCATTCGCTGCTGGCCCAGGGCCTGAAGACTCGTGGCCTTATCATGTAAGCATCATGCCAAATAAATCGGCCTTACCATGTATGTAAGCACCTTCCTGAGGCCAAAATGCCACCCCGGGCTTTTTCGGACAAGGGGAGGGAACATTTTTGGCAGGAACATTTTTGGCAGGGCTGTGCTGTGCACTGGCCGTTTGAGCCTTACTACGTCGAACTGATTTATTTTTATTTTTATTTTTATTTTTATTTTCAACCCAGAGGACGTCAGCATTGTGCGATAGCCTACAGCAACAACAAAAAAAGGGAAAAAACGAGGCCTACAGAAAAAGAAACAGGGGCAAATGTGCGATTTTAGTCCCGTCCTGACTTTCCGCGCTGGGACCGCTTCCTGGCACTTGGAGCTCCCCCCCCAGTACGTGGAGCTCCCCCATCTTCCAACCACCAGTACACCCATACATCAGCCGCCGGCCCGTCTCGGGACGAGGTCCCACTAGCAACATGGATTGGATCGAACGCCGGAATCTAGACGTGTTCCTCGAAAAGTGCGGAAATTCGAGATTGAACAGTTTTTCTGCACCTCTGCCTAAAACACACCCAGATTCCGGATCGTAATCCAATCTCCGTTGCTAGTGGGACCATGCTCTCGGAGGCCAAAGCCCACCAAATGGAATTCATCAATGGCGTCCGGGCCGGGCCTCCCCCATCATCAGGTCTTCGACAAAATGGACAGATAATTGACAGAAAAATGAGCAAAGCAGACCCAGAAAAGACTAAATGGACAGAAAATGGACAAAATAGACGTTCACTGAAAACAAAAACGGACATAAAATCTTATAGAAAAAAAACACACAAACAAGGACATACGATGGAGACATAAAAAATATCAGACAAACCAAAAATAATAATAATAATAATAAAAAACATCAGACAAAATGGACAGAAAATGTACAAAGCAGACACGAAAAAAAAAAAAAAAAAAAAAAAAAAAAAAAAAAAAAAAAAAAAAAAAAAAAAAAATATTCCGACATTGTCAAATCCAATAATCTTACTAACTGAACCGACTTTTGGTTGGATTAGACTGCCATACAGTTCTTTTTTTTTTTTTTTTCCCCTCAAATTTGAAGGGTTCACAAAGTTGTACAATAATACAATATCAGTA